CGGGATGGCACACTCGAGCCATAGTGGATCGGGGGTCGCGCCAGCGCCAGCGCCAGTGCAAGCTCAAACGGCGTGAGAAGGCGACAATCTGAAGCGGTCGTCACGTCCAGGGGGGGTGGCGAACAGCGCCTATTAATCGTGGGGCAACTCGGCAGGCTCGTTTGCGCTTCGTTGGCTTCTCGTCTGGTAAGATGTGGCTTGCTTGTAAGAGACGTCGCCATTTGATCGACGCGTGGCTGCGGCACGGTCTGCTCGAACGCAACCGAATTTTCAGCCAGTCTCAGTGGAGGATCCTATCTCGCGTCGTTGGTCGCCCATCGGGTCATCAGGACAAAGAAACGCCGGGTGTTCTATTGTTGGCACCCATCCATCACGCAGACCAGAGCGAGGGTAACAAGGCTCGTTGGAGCAGACGAAGGCCAAGAGGCTGGCGGCCAGGCTGTCCGATCTTGCATATTGATACGTTCAAACAAGAGTTCGACAACATGGATCGTCGCAGGCGAGGCCCAAGACCGGCCCGTCTATAACTGCTTTCCTTTTGGTAGAACCAGGTGTGGTAGAAGTGGATCATGTGTCGGTCGAGTGAGGGGTTTGCATATGCGAAATCGTCAAGAGAGTGCCCGACGACACTGACGAGTTTCAACGAGGCATCTGCAGAGCGCGCGCCCCGTGGGAGAAGGGGGATCATCTACCGACCATTCATTTGCGGGAGGCCTGATGGGCCTACGAAAGAGCCAGCGTGTCCCGTGGTCATGAGAAGATGATGGAACACAAAACATTTGGCAAGGATCGCAGGCGTTGGACGTGCTTGAGTCGGCCGTCGCAAAGACACAGTTAACAAGGTCATCCACGAGGGCGCCAAAGTGAAGGATCCAGGATAGCCATACCTTTTCTGGCTGACTGTGCTGCCAAGTTCACAAAATACATCCTTCCACCCCCGTCACTCGACCCGGCTGGGCGCATTCAACGACAATGAGTCCAAGCTGTGGAGTCTCTGGCGGTCGTTGTATCAGGACTGGAGGATATTCATGTCAGCATGTCAGCATGTTGGCTATCTCGGTTCAATCGATCACTCATGCGCTGGCCAAGATTCGTGGCTCCTTTCCCGGTCGCGGATCACGCCACGACCCCAAACCTCGGCGACTGTCGACTCCAACAGTAGAATCCATTTGTATTGTTACGACACTCGATGGAAGCCCCTGGTTGTTTGGAAGAACCTTGGATCAGGATCTGTTCTGGAGTTGAGTCCATTGACTGTACTGATTGGCTTTGGGTCTCCCTCAACCAATGATCCGCTTGCAATACCCTTAGACGCCCGTTAAGCGCCGACCGAAGCCCTGCAGAACGACGGGTTTCGTTCCACGGCATGCGTTCAACCCCTTCCTTCTCGAACGCTTCTTCTAAGCTGACTCTACCCCAGATAATCCAGACCCGAGAGCCAGATTGCGTACCATTGCATGTCCGGCGCCTACATCCCTATTAATAACTCCCGTGCCAGGGGGGTATGGCGGGATTGAACAGGATCTCGACCCGGAAGGCGGCCCTTTCCAGGCGCCGAACTCAAACTCCCATGCAAGGCACGCAACCTCAAGGGTCGAACATGGCAACATCTTTGGTTCGTAGGGCAATCATACGGCGTGGCATGCCCGCCGACGCTAGATATACATCGTGCTGGGCGTTACGCTGAGGTTAGAAGATGCATATGGGCGTTCTCGAACACCAACCATATCGACGGCCATCCACCGTTCTACGACAAGCAGACGGATTCGGCACCGTTGACGCCAACCTCGACGCGCCCTGACTGTCTCTCACCACCACAAGTCGGCTCCGTATCGCGCCCACGAACCCCTTAATCTAGATCGGACCCTTGGTTCACGGCCTACCAACCCCTGACATCATCCTCATCTGCCGCGCGAGGCAACATGATGCCCCCCCCCCTTCCGGCATGTCTACCCGCGGCGCGTGGAGGTCGTCATGAATGCACACGCCCTTCCACACATCACACCTCCCCCCTGGAGAAGACCCTTGATTTCTACATGCCGAGCTACCAAGGAGTGACGCCCTCCTCCCGCGGATGTGGGTGCGATCCCTGAGCCGGGCCCGCCTTGACGTGCTTTCTGTGATGTTTCTTCCCGATCTCCCGGGGCAAGGAAACGCCGGCATGGTTATTATTAGACCACGGCCATCCATATGGTTTCTATATTTGGGAATCGGGACTGCAGCTGCAGCCGCCGATAAAGCCCCATGCTTAACAAGACGTCATCTCGTGTCCTCCAATATCAACCTCCTGGCCTCTCCCCTGTGAAGTTTGTCGCTCAAAACCCCGAGTCCAGGCAGGCCATTTCTGCGTCTTTTACATGTACATGTGAGGCCATTTTTTAATTTCTCATAATAGATTCGGCGATCGCGAATGGCTGATTATATCTTGTCTGGCGATATCTTCGTATCCCCTCTCCGCCGCTACCCCTGGTCCGAGGCGGGCCTAAAGCCCTGAAGAAGCCCCTCATTCTCTTGACCCCACCATGAAATTAACATGGGCGATTGGTTTAGTGGTATAACGTCTGCTTAGCACCTGGGAATCGAGAGTCCTCCGGTTGAGGGAAATCGAATGTTGCCTGCTGAAGGTCCCGCGTTCGATTCGCGGATTGTCCACTGTCGCGTGCGAGAAATCGTACGATTACTTTTGCCGGTTGGGTCTTGTGATGTTCAATTCGGAACCGCCACCCATTTTTAGTAGCAAGTTGACACGGGTACTGATAAATCACAAGTTGGAAGCGGCATACTTGGCGGGATAATCATGTCCTGACTTCATTGTTGACCGACCTGGCTGTCGTGACCACCAGCAACCAACCGTCCCGAATGCTTCGAGTTTGGAATCATTGTGACCGCGTTCCCGTCCCCCCAACGCCGTAAAGCCGTAAAGGCTGAAAGCATCCATCGCTAGTCTTGAATTAATTGTACAGTTGTTTTTGTTCGCACCGCAGATGGTGTGTTTTGTCCGTGGCGGCAGAGTGACTAGCAGGCGAGATGTTCCCCTGCTGACCCGGCAACGGTTCACCTTCTTCACTTCTTCAACCTCTTGGCGCTCTTGTCACTAACACCGCTCAAGACGCTGGCGCTCCGTTTATGGGGACCGCTGCTGCTCGGAGGCCTCGCCGCCTTGGCCGGCGAGGCTTTTTCCTCGTTCGTCTCGACCGAGGCGGCAGCAGCAGCAGCGGCCGGTTCCTCGGAGGCCGCGTCCCCATGGCGATCAGCCTTCTTGTTCGCCTTGACAGGCTCATCGCCGTCGTTGTCGCCGTTGTCGTCCGCCGAAATGCTCAACGACCATTTGCCTTGTCGCTTTTTGGCTGCCTCG